GTTTTCCACCATTTCCACCTCAATTTGCCGCTTGATAGGTGTGCCTGCAGCAATGTTGCCTAACTTTCCGTCGAATTTGGCACGGTCCATTGAACCCCCATTCATTACGTTTACAATGATTCTACTTCTTTAATGTTTGCAAAAATTCAACTGACTTTTTTATTCAACACSCTATTTGCTGCTTCTGCCTCGGCACGCGGCATTCAATTCGCTTATTTGTCTGCGTTTTGATTTTATTGGCTTCTGGTTCGCCGCCTCCACTAGTCTGTTTGTCATTACAAGCATTTGTCTGAGTTTACACTTTGTTTTCGCATAAATAACCCTCCTCCTCAAGAAGCTCCATGTATTTTATTACTACAGAAGGGAAACTTAATTTGATTATTTACGYCAGAAATTTTCGCCAAAAACTGGATTTCATTATAAAATATAAGTGTGCAGTAGAAATTCATTAGCACATCTGCTATGCTTGGTGATTCTTGCCTTATAAGTATATTGTAAACAATAGGTATACGTTGCTATGATCAACATGGCGTATGAGTAACATATGGCTTTTAGTACGTTGAACTCCAATTTTTCTCTATAGTGCACGGAAATTTAAGCTTTCTATTGGATRTTTAGGCTTTCTATTGACACGTAGTCGTATAAATTACAGTAAATAACTTGTACAACAAAAAATTCATTTGAAATTCGTTGCTGATACAAAAAGGTAAGACAAATCAATTTTCTCAAAAAATACGGTACTTTGTCTACTATTGCGCCATTTTTCGGTATTCATTCATTCTCTAACAGCTTATTTTTCACTTTCACTCGCACGATTGGAATACGAGCGCAGACAAGAATATTAAAGCTCTGTTAAATGAAGTGCATGCTTTCTGGCGCGATGCTCACCAAGTACGAACCCTTGACATTATTGCCTTTCATTGGGTGGCATCAAATCAAAACGCACAAAAAATTCGCTRTCGCATATTTCATTTCAACTGCATAACGCAATCAATCGCGTTGAGAAAGTAAGTACGGGACAAAAGCAGCAACAACAATAGCAAACACCATTGWCGGACTAATGAAAATGGCCGTGATAATTTGAGTAAATGCCGWGGTCAATATTCAATAGATTTGCGCTACACTGCTACCTCCACAATCATCCCATCTCCCTCCGCGCGCGTTCACCGCGCCATCGACAACTGCTGCAGCGTCGCGTTGTAATTGCTGCTTTTGTTGCTGGTTTAAGTCAACAATTTCGAATTTATTTCATGACCRGCATTCGAAAATAATGAAATCCACAATTCGATGACAGTGAAAGGATAAACAGCGATAATTAAATGAAACGCTTCATCCAGCAGCCTTTCGGTTGACCAATGATGGCCGCTGCGGTGCACCGTTCACACATAGCCGCGCGCGCTGCGGCAGCGTTGACCATATTTATTTGTTAGTTTTGCTCCATTTGTTTATTTCTCTTTTCAGTGGACAACTTCTGTTGATTGACATTTTAATGGAGCGCATGAAATTGCTAGAAAGCAGCGAGCGGAAGCGCAAAGCGGGACATCGAGGTGGAAGATAACAAAATGAAGCGCGACAAACAGCGTCAAAATAGCTCATAAGTAGCATTAAAAGGTTAAAGCATGGGCCGCCAGTTCTCTCAGCAAACCACTGAAGAAGCTATAGCGAAGAGCTAACGCAATAAACGCTACATGGACACTACATAAAGTGGTCCCTCCTTACCGCTCTGCTATGCAGGCGAAGAGCACGTAAAATCGAGCACAAAGGTATATCAGCACTCCATTACAATGTTACAAATACTAAGTAAATATCCGCACAAACACATACACACACACATGTATGTGTTCTCCCACATTCGACTGTCGCCGCCTCATGACGCTGCCGTATAAACTTAGCCGAGTGATCAACTAACTCTGGCCACTCTGACCACACACATGCATATGTATACATTGTACTTGTTCGCCACTGAAAGGTGCGAATTCTCATTTCCATATTAAGTTACAAAGTGATTAAAATGCAATCGAGGCAGTAATGACGTGTTTTCGATTTCATAAACGATTTAAGGACAGCCCACAACTGTTGACTAAAGACCGCATCATTTATTCGTAGTCGTGGCGGAGGAGAACTCCAATACGGTCGCCAATTCATTTTTGATAAATGGCTTGACTGATAAGAATAACTATTACATAAGTTTCCTGAGAGCTCTTCTATATATTAGCTCAGTTCAGGAGTTTATATGCTCCTATTGAATTAGGTTAGGTTAGGTCGTAGGATTGATCCAAAATCTATGGATCTCACTTGGACAAGTCTTTTATGTTACCCAAAAACTAATTAAAGTGCATCACCTTAYAGATCGATTAAGCGTTTTTAGCGGCTGTGCTGGATAGGTCATGTTGTCCGGATGGAAGAAAACACTCCAGCGTTGAATGTTTTCGTGTCAGTACCCGCCTTTGGAAATAGAGGATGAGGAGGACCTCCACTCCGTTGGAGAGATCTACTGGAGAAGGACCTGGCTGCAYCAGAAGGATCTCGCAGTCAAACATGTTCTAGTTGTTGACCAGCGCATGGCATAGGTCAAGCGTTAGACCGCAAGGGGACGTCGGACAATCGACGTGTTTCCAGTCGGCCGAAATTGGGGTAAGGGTGCACTCCTTAGACAGTTTGTCGGACTTGCAGCTGCATACAAGTCTTATTTGGAAAAAATTTTAAGTTGTTGCTAATGCACAGTCGGCGAGTTCAAAGCCACTATGCCGTTCGGTTATCAGAGAAAAATTCACACCTCTCTGAAGGAGGCTGCRCGTCGGAGCAGTATATCTACCGCTACCTTGATGGTAGCTACCTCCTTTTCAAAGACGTTACAGTGATCTGTTAGTATGAAACTAGAGTTGATGGAGAGCTCCCTACAGAAGACTCCACCGCTACTTTTACTTCGATCCATTTGTGAAGAAACTCATTGCACTTTTTCTTCAACGGGTTCGCCCCGCTCACAAATTCCTCGCAGGTTATATATTGTAAAGAATCGAATCGAAGTATTAGATCATTTTAATGTGTCCCTGCCAACAGATCCTAATACACCTAGCTTTCCTAAGTCGAATAGCAGTTTTGATGAGAGAGCACAAGAAGGTATTATTATCATGACCGCTAATTTCTCGCAGTGTAATCAAAGTAAAGCTACTTTCTAACACATGGGCCGATTAAAGGAAAGGACAAACGTATACATCCATCTTCATTAATATTTGAGAAAGTGCTATTTTTTCAAACAAAATTTTCGGCAAGTTGTGATGACGTTGATGAAACGTAAGCCTGAAGAGGAGTCGCAGTAAACAAAGTAATACAAGAGCTAACATTTAGGCATGAAACTGAAATAAACTTGCACGAGGACAGGATACAGTTAGAAAATAATTAATTTTAAGGTTAGGAAAGGAAAGGATGCACGAGTGGCACAGAGTGAGAGGAAATCTTGCTATACGGCTTAAAATAGCCTGCAGAATTAAATTAAAACACAAAATCAAGAAAATGGAACTGGTTGGAGGTGCCCTGGAAATCACAGCTGTTGTTAGGCGAAATATTCGATTTTCTTTCCACAAATATATATATTTTTTTTATTTTCGTAATTGAGAAAACTATTAGGTAAAAGAGAATAAAGAATTAAAAACTGGTATAATGAAATTTACATGAAATCAACGACACAAAACCACAGCGAAGGACCAAGCCATGAGCAAGTTACATAAAAATGCCATCGAAGCGAAGAAGCCGCATTCTTTTCAATTTAGTACAAGCAAACAGATTACAAAAAAAAAAAAAAAAAATTACAATCAAAAACACACAATGTGGGAAGAGGAAACTAATAGGGAGCATAGTTGAACTGCGAACAAGCCTTGAAAACATACTAAGCCCATTTAAGGAAGGAGGCAGCTCAGTCGCTAACACCAGCTACTCTTTAAACATCTTCGCTCCGCGCACGGAAGGCGGCGGGAGCAGGACAGCAAGTAAACGTACACAGACACACACACATACCCTTCACATATGCTGGTCCCACATGTGTAGGACAACAAAGAAGCCAGTCGTAAACAAGCAAATAGTAATGACAACAATACCGGCAGCGACAGCGGCTAAGCATGGAAGAATGTAGAGCAAATCCTGCGCAGCAGCCGAGAAACGCCAGAAGAAGCAAGGCGATAGATGAAACCACAATAGACATTGACCAATTGAGGAAGTACTAAGCTCAGTAACATTTACTTGCGGGCTTCGAGCGGCGGGTGTAATTTGAGTGTGGGTATCGCATGACATTTCGACTCGTTTTTTCTGTTTCTATTTTGAATTTTTACCCTACTTTCGAAATTCTTGTATGATTTTGTGAAGCACAGAAAGGAACAATGGCCAATTTTGTCAACCGAGAATGCGCCCGTTCCTTCGCTATATGTTCGCCTACTTCGCTGCTTTTGTTTGCCTTCTCCTTTCAGTTGGCATTAGACAGGCTACCTTGTTGTCGGAGCTTGAAGAAATTAAATGTCTTGTAGTAAGCTTTTTTAATAAGAGTTTTCTTTAGCTGCWAGTCGTTTGCCTATCCCCATCAACAGCGCTTAATATTTTTATGAGCTTATTATTAAAAGTTCTGCCATTTTCTCGCTCTGCTGTGGAGCGGCATTCGCTTCAACTTGCATAACGCACACACAGCCGTTTGCATTAGTATAAGTGCCAATTTCGCTCAATTATTGGTCGGCTGAAGTTTMTTGAATTTTCTTAACGAAGTTTTCATAAAGGAGGTTTGAAATTATTTCACAAATTTTGCGGTTCGCTTGAAAAAGAGCAATGAAAATTGAAACAAAGAAATTTACAGCGAATCAGCTAATAACCTAATAGATTCCAAACTAGGTGCCTAAATGAATGCAACATCCATAAACTACGTAAAAAGTCATCTTTTTTAATGGAACGCTCTATCCTGTCTAAGTTTTACAAAAATCGGTAAAAAAAAAATATTTTACGAACAGTTTTAAACTCACCGATAAAGCTCTTCCGCTTATTGATCGTGGCGGTAATCTGCGCGGACACACCGAAATCGGCCAACTTGACGTCGCCCTGTTCGGTCAGCAGTATATTGGCGCCCTTGATGTCACGATGCATCTTGCCCATCGTATGCAGGTACTCGAGTCCTTTCAATGTTTCACGGCACATGTAGGCGATTTGTTGTTCGGTTAGCGGTCCCGTCACCTGGTAGATGTCCTGCAGGCTACCGCCACCGCAGTACTCCATGCAGATCCACAACTTGTCGCGCCGCAGGTACGAACCATAATATGTGATGATGTTTTTGTGCCGACAATCGCGCATCATAATAATCTCCTGCTGGATGATTTGTATGTCGTCGGTGGGCTCGAGTTTGATGACTTTGATTGCGGCCAATTCATTGCTCTGTATGCGCTTTGCCTGTGCCAAAAAGAGAACAAAAGCAGAMAACATTAAGAAATGATGGAAGTGAATATTCTAGCAACGTAGCGGTAAATGCCGCCGTTAATGAATGCAAATTGAGTTTATTATTATTCAAATGATTCCTCAAACACGACTGAGTGCCAATTGGTGTTGGGTAAACACTCTCTCTATTGGAGAATAACATTGTGAAGCGAGTGCAAAAGGATTGCCATTTAAACGCTTGATTGAAAAAGAGTATAACTAAGCAGGCTGACGGGGGGCTTGATACTGCGTTATCGAGCAGTTGATGGGTTTGCCAATAAATTTTCAATTCTTTTCGCTTTCACTTGGCGCATAATAATACGTGCTAGGCGAAAGTGGTTAAGCGGAAGGAACGAAAAAAAAATGATTTACATTTTATTATTATGCCACTAACACAAGCGCAGGTATACAAGAACACGCACTTTCTCGCACATACAATGAGTAGAAAAGTTTATACACACTTTTTGCGCTTCTCTTCCGTGTGTCTTCTCCCAGCGYGCAACACCCTACACTCCGCCTGTCGCAACCTCACTAGGGCTCACTCAACGCGCTTGGCTATTGCCATTTTATGTTGCATGCAAATATTTGAATTTTCAATAAATTTCACTGCTGCACTTGGCGCGCTCTCTCTGCCACTGCTGGGACGCCGCTGCTTCCACTTTTCTTTGTCGCAAATAGAAATGCAAAACTTGGTTGAAAAGCAATCGACGTGAACGCTTTGGCGGGAGGCGGATTGAAAGTTGAATTGAATTTAGCAGCGCCAGCGATGGAAAAATGAATGGCATGAAAGCAGTGAGCAGTTAGTTTCGTTGATTGCACTTTACTTGGAGATAGTTGAAGTTTAAGTAAATCCATTAAATGCCATTCTGTTGGCTATTTGACTCGGTCGTATCAAAATCGCGACTGATACTCGTACCTTGGCGGCAGCGTGCGTTCCCGAAGGGGAAAAGTGCGACCAAAAATGACAAAACTAATGGGTTGGAAATAAATTTAAGTCAAGAAAGCGAAAGCTATATGAACAATTTTGAATTAGCAAGGCGGAGTGTGGGCGGCATCGATCATCGAAAATTACGAAAAAATTTATATTTAAAAAATAATGTTTAAGATTGGGTGTAATCGGAAGCAAATAACTTCATTTGAAGCGCCGGTAAATATTATATGTGATACCTGGTGATGATTCAGAAGATATTTTCTAAAATGTCGATGCATACTTTTAGGCGAGAAAGATAGGTTTGATTACGCAATGTCAAAAGAGAGCTCTCGAATTTCCTTTAGAGTTGTTATATAAACTAAACAATGTTACTGCTGAGMYCCAAATGAACCGTTGAGTGCTACCATCAATTTGTGTGTCCCTACYTAACAGTGAAGGCAGAATTGAGTCATTCGCTTTACAGAGAAGCAACGAATTTTCTAACGAGTGAAATTTGATGAATTCAATGCCGARGTTGATAGGTGGAAAGYAGCTTACACCACATCTTAACGAAAATCACTACTCAAATATTCAACAAAMACAAAAGCAGSCAGCGTAAAAGGCAAACAAGTGCAATGAGATGCAGCGAAAGGATACTGCTCACCAGCTGTCGGGTCCTTGCGCAGGACACTCTATTCAAACGCAGTTKGCATTTCCCAGCAAATGAGCAAAGCATGCAGCAGATCAGTTATGGAGCGCCAGCGGCCCGTCCTCCCAACTCCCTCGAAAGAGGTTGATTCCACCCTCAGTGGGTGAGGGCGCTCGAAAGAGGGCGATTGCAATTTTGCGGTTGCGAATTGACAGTGGGTGGTTGTTGTCGCTGCCGTTGGATAAGGATCGCAATCGTATTTGTCATGTTTACAGGTCAGTGGGTTTTTCAATTTGCATTTAGCTGCATTTTCGTTAGATTCACAATCGAATGCATTTATTTCGCTCAAAATGCGGTTTAATCGAAATCAATCTTTTGCATTTTGCATTCTCAATGCGTGCGGTTTGTGAGCGCCGGCAACTTGSAAGCTRAGTGAGATGCTATTAAGTTGTGTTAMAATTTTTTTTAATGATTTTCTCCAAATCGACTCGACTGCTTGCCTGTTTGCCAGTTCGCCTGTTTGTGTTCTCAATTTTCAGCTAAGCGCCAAATATAACGGAATAATTGGAGGCGAGGACACTGTGGAGGTAACAGGCGAAAGGCACTCAAGCTGGAACAATCACGCTTTTCTTTAAAAGATGCCATAAAATGCCGAAGCATTTGATTTTCTGAACTATTCTTCTTCGTTGGTATTTTTTGTTTTTTTCTTTGGTAGAAGAGGCAATGAAATTAGAGTGAGCTTTTACCATCTTGTTGGAATCGACTTTTGCTTCTGATAAAACCAATACTGGCGAGCGCCAGTGACACCTGTCGGATTCGCTTTAACAAACCGAAGTGCAGTTAGAGTTTACTCTATCGGACTGTTGACAAATAATATATTTTGGCGATTTTAAGGCCAAGGAGGGTAAAGAAGGTAAATTTGGCATAGAAAAATGTATCAAGTTATCTGTCTGAACAGAATCTGGCTGGCTTCAAGACTGGAGCATACTCTTGTATAACCTCTAGAGAAGCTCTAGTGACCGATGCCCAGAGCATACTAAATGCTGATTGGCAGTGAAAGTATAACGGCWGGAGAAGGCGAACCCGATGGCCCAATCGACGACGATGGAGCAGACGTTCCATTGCCCGACCATGAAAAAGTTGAAGAACAGCAAAGCAGCGGGGCTGATGGATTGCTGGATGAGCTGTTCAAACACGACGGCGAAGAGTTGGTAAGAATCATGCGTCAGCTTCTTTGTAGATTATGGATAAGGAAGCGAAGCAAATGGGTCAGGTAGTGAACAAGGACAAGACGAAATATCTCCTGTCATCAAAGACACTGTTGACAATCATAACTTCGAAGACGAACTGAGTATACAACTGAGAASTAAAGTCCTCTYTAACCGAACAAAACCGAAACTCTATAAGTCACTAATTATTCTCGTCCTGCTACGTGTTGCAGAGGCATGGACGATGACAGGAGGTTCTGCCGAAGATTTATATACTCTTCATTATATAACAGAAGTTCAGTATGCATAATTATGAACCTGTTAGCTAACAATATAAATGTATTCATGCCAAGCGCGTGTTATCGAAGGCGATGGGAGCTTTTATAATCAAACTACATTGTTTCGTAAATGGGTGCAGAGCTTCGGCTTTTGTATTTTACAACCGCAAAATATTTGCTTGTTTCCTTAATAGCTGTAGATACCAAAATTAATCGTTCGATAACATTAGACAATATTATTTAGCAGAGGTAGGCAGAAATCTATGACGAGCCACATTACCCAAAACCAATTACCAGGCAAACAGCACACTGCCCTGTGCACAAAGTGCCACACCCACCTGTTATTTCATGGAAACGGCGGTGGGCCAACTGGTTAGCCGTAAAACCGATTTCATTGACAACACCGCAGCATATTCGTTTGTAGGAAATAAGCGTAACCTGTGCAGAAGACTCCACGTAACGGTAAGCAGCCGAATGYATGCGACGATGTGCCAGCACAGGGACACCGCCTATTATGCAACATTTACGCGCAACAATATTGTGGGGATAACTATCAGTGTATATAGTTAGTAGCTCAGGCACACACAAATAGGCAGGTGTGTAAATGAGCACCATGTATTGGGCAAGTGATCCTGTGGGGGCAGATAACCTCAGACTGGATAGTGCGAGCGTTATGCAAATCGGATGGTGTTTGTCGGACGCAACGTCAGCCGGCAAGAAGAGAATTGTGTCGTCAATGGGATCACCGTCGTTGCCCATCGCAGTACTGATATCCAAACATATGTATATTGCCTGCCATGGATGTGATACGAAGGACGCGGCGTTAGTTAGTGTTGAGGGCGTACCGGCTATGCAACTGGGAAGCGAATGCATAGTTCAAGCACACCGATGCCTTTGCAAAGCGAATGCTACTGGGACCGAAAACGATCTTTGGGTCATCAGTAGCGCCCTGGCCGTTATAATAATGTTAGTGCAAAATTGGATCGTTTTCATTATTGGTAACAGTGTCCGAATGTGGAAGCGTTGAAAAMTATATTGTATTTTTTTTGGATTATGTTAACAACTATATAAGTACATCCATTGTAAATCCACAAATCAGTAAATGCATTGTGCTGCAATTCTTTCGTTATCCTCTCAATTTCTTTYCTGCGCAAGACTTTTTCCACATAAAATGTGCGTGCATTTGCAGATTTCCTCGGCATWTTTGCCGCTGTTGGCGAAATATGAGAAACTGGATTATATCCGTGTATATTTTTTGCCTTCTTCCACCACATTGTAATGACATGGCGCAATCACCCTTTAGGAGGAAGGAGCTGTTCGGAAGTTCGCGCTGCTGAGTGCAGAGATTGTCAGCATATTCGTCAGTTGCGGTAAATTACATACTTGCAACACGATTCCACGCCACTCAGCTCCCTTTGTTGTTGTTACTTTTCTGATTGTTATTTTCTGTCAATATTTTCCTTTGTTTCCCAGCACACGGCACGAACAAGGAGTGAAGCACATGTATATGTTAACAAGCTCATATTATATTTAATTTCTCGATTTTTACATTCCTCCATTTGCAATTTCCAATTACTTAACTATTAAGTATGCATAATAAT